TGGACTCTGATAAATTGGTGAGTGCATAGCACACTATGGTTTGCCTTTATCAACGAAACAATACCGGCTTCCGCAAAGTATATGCGTGGTTATCCCCCAGTTTGTGTTGTTATTATCACTATTTAGAAAACACAGCATCAATCCCACAAGTATCAGTAATTATCTGAATCTCAAACTAAACTATATACGTATGCGCCAAGTTTGGAAAATTTTTATTACAAAAGAAACATACAGCCTTGAAAGCTTAAACAATAACCACTTTTCAATTGCTTGCTTGTTCATACCTGTAACACAACCAAATTCAAAACAACCAAAGACAACACAGAGTTGTGGCATGATAAGAGGGGAAACTAAAACTGTAAAACGATCATACCGGCTTCCGCAAAGCACGTGGGCGGTGTAGTATCCAACAAAAAAAATTTACCGTTCACACAAAATAAAGGTATTACAATCCAAACTACAGCACTAGTCTTAAAATAGTCTACATTGGCATACCTAATTACAAGTATTGACAGCTATTTAGAATGCATGACATTGACAAGTGTATGTGTAACACCTTCAACTTACACTTCAAACAGCTATGTTACAGGGATTGTAACGCATGGTTATCCCCCAACATGGCTGACCCCGGTTTTTCAATTTATGCCGACGTCACGTGCAAACAAAGAATTTGTGCATAATTTGGTATAAACCAGCGAAGTAATAATTGACTCGATGTTTCTTGTAGACCGCACGCGCGAAACCGAAATCAACAGATTCACTTGGTAAACTGCGGTTGGAAGACTACTAATTAATAATTTATGCATAAAGGGAATATTCAGTGTAAGGTAGCTTTGATTAATAAATCAAAATTGGAAAATGGTATCTTTTGCCCCATTGGAGTCTTTTCCGTTCTGAGCCATATCATTTTCCCCTTGTCTCATATCAAAATGCTACTCTTACGACTTCTTTTTTCTTTGACAGAAAAAACGAACAAACAAACAAATTAAACAAAACAAAACAAAACAAATATGAAAATGAGCTTAACCAGTTGATCGCCCACGGTAAATTAAATATAATGTCAACTTATAATGAAACATATTTGCATAAGATCGACCGAGTACGAGAGTGGAGTTCTCAGAAGATCAAATCTGCGTCTTCCTTTCTGTCAGTGCTTTAATAGACAGATATGCCCTTAAGTCCGTCTCAGTGAAGAGCAGGTCACGAGACGGGTGGCGTTCCTCAATCTAATGTGGTTCGTTCGCAGGTTATTGTTGATATAAATCACGGGGTGTGACACATGAAAGGCAGACAACATAAAACTTTGGGGTGGCGAAATGTGAGATCGAATGACTATACAGTGGTGGTGAGCGGGTGAGGGCCGCTTTAATGGATTTTTTTTGGGGGGGGGCGCTTTTTGCTCAAAGAGAGCATTTGTGCTTATAACAATTTATCGTAAAGAAAATTATAAAATATTAAAAAGAACGCGAGACACGAAGGAAACAGTGGTAGTGGTACCGAATAGCTATAAGTGATACAATCCGAAAGGCCTCCAGCAGAGTGTCACGTTAATTCTTCGCGGTCTCAATTTGCATATTTTGTTGACATTGCCTGTTGCACCGTACTAAACGAATCTCGGTTACATTTCGCAAAACATTGCGAAATAAAGGTCTTCATGAAACGACCAAAGAGAGATAATTTATCTTGACTAAAATGTAAAAGAAAGTGTCGACTAACGAAATCGAAAGAAGATTTTTCTTTTTTCCCAGCTTCAATCAATGCTTTGCCCACATTTCCTACTGTTTGTTTTACCCGTTCAATTTTTGGACTTTGTTTTCTTCATTATAGATTAGTTTACCAGTGACGTCGCGAAATTACATTTTTCGCGAACTTCTATGGACTTCCTCGCCACAACACACTGCGACCGTGATTCGAAAGAAAGTTTCATCGAATAAAACTTGTACATCTATAACAGATTAAACACACCAGCTTTATTCTGAAATCACAATTTCTAACCAGGGTAGTTATGTCTAATGTAAAAAAGTAATCGCGTTCCTTGAACTTGAGATAAATGTAAACAATGTCCTTACTCGTGCTCCAAAAGTCCTTACTCGTACTCCAAAGTCCTTACTCGTGTTCCTTACTCGTGTTCCTTACTCGTGCTCCAAAGTGCGTGCTCCAAAGTGCGTGCTCCAAAGTGCGTGCTCCAAAATACAATAAATTAACGAGGCAGTGAGTTGATGCGTCATTTCAAAGTATCACTACTGTACTTTTAAAGTTTAACAAATCATTCAGAAAAGAGAAGGCATGAAGTGCGAAAGAAAAGGCATGAAGTGCGGCGTTCCTCAATCTAATTCGGTTCGCTTGCAGGTTATTGATGATATAAATCACGGCAAGGAGGGTCACACATGAAAGGCAGTTCGACGACACACAGGCAGCCCAAGCTCACTACGAGAAAAGCGGACGTGACTCTTACCGTGTTGCGTAACGTTTTATATTTATAAAGGTTTGTATGGGATGTTATCGGTTTACCTTAAAAGAGAGAAAAAAATGTCTTGTTTTGAAATAAAATGGGCTCACTTTATTGCCTTGTTGTTTTCTTTGTTGATTCCGAACGTCTCAGGCCATTTTGAAGCGTTTTCGGCGAGTTAGCGCTATGTTGGTGTTCAACTGCTAAAAGAAAGACAAGGCCGGAAACCTATTTTAGAAGCGTCCGTCGCCCGAAGCGAATAATTCCGCCAAAAAATTTCCACCAGTCTCGATTCCTCCAGAAAATCAAAGCAGAGATGTTGCAGTTCCATTTTCCATTCACTCGATTCACAATTCCTCCCCCAGATCTTTCACTAGCGATACTTTTATCTCCAGATCGATAGGCTTTCCCATTTCGAATTTGGCTG